TGCTCACAATAGGGCCCCAAAAAAGCACATAAGCAAAAATTAGGATAGGGATATCCCATATAAACCCCCTTATAATGAAGCCCAATAAGGTAGGGATATCCCTATAAAATGCTTATGCTTATGTGCTTTTTGGGTTCTTAATCGATGCTGGGGTCGTTGACACGGACGGGGCGACGGTGGTCGGCAGCGTCGAGGCCATCTCCAAAGCCACAACAAAGGCACTTGTGCTGTTGCCAGTGGCGCCGACTTTGCCATAGAGATGGATGCCAGTGATGAAACCTTGGCCGACTTTTTGATGTTGTAGCTAATGAAGCAATCCGAGTAATCCAATCACTCAAATCCCTTAAGTCCTAAGGCCCTAAGAGTCAACCAAGAAGGGAGCCAAGAAACTTGTGGAAGATCGAAACGAAGGCAGGAGACAGGCGCAAACTACTCCCAGGAGGAAGAAGGCAGAGGTCCGAAAGCAGCAGCAGCTATCCTAGACTTTGAAGTAACCAGGGAGAAAAAAGTATAGACTTTATTGTTATAATGATTCCCTTAAGGAACAGGTCCCCCAAAAAAGTATTCAAGTATGGTACTCCAGAACCCAGAAGAGCTCCCCATAAACCCTAAACCCTTAAACCTTAAACCCTAAACCCTAGACCCTAAACCCTTAAACCCTAAACCCTAGAGCCATGTATCATTTTCCTCCTCCAGCTCCGGAGGCTCCGGCATGCCATCCCCAGGTCCTGCCTAGAACTTTCCACCTGAGCTTACGTCCTAGGGTATGTACGCCCCCATGTCCAGCGATGCATGTGCGAGTGTGTATATATATATATATGTATATATATATATATACACATGTGTAGATATAGATATATATATATATATATATATGTAAACATACATATAATATAAGTATATATATATATACATATATATATAATCATTCTTATTATTATTATTATTGATTTTATTATACGTGTATAAATAAATAAATATATATATATATATGTATGTATATATTATCTATAATGAATTTACGATACATGTTTACGTATATCCACATGCCATGAACTACTTACGGGAAAAAAGGTTGTGCAGGAAAACATGCAGGCCTGCCCGCATGTAGATGCGTGGATATGTGAATGGTCCAGAGCAGCGGCTGCGAATCAAAAAGCGGCTCTTGTGGCCCTTGCTTTAGGGTTTAGGGTTTAGGTAAGCCCTAAGCCGCGAATCTCGCTGCAAGCATCACTAAACCCTAGCCGAAGCCGCATACACTACCCAGAAAGCACTAGCTGAATGCCGAACCCTACATCAGACATGACTAAATAATTGAACCCAAACCTCACGCGTTGGAAACCTGGCTGTTCAGTTTCCCAGGCGAACCCCAAAACAAACATTCCCAGGCCCAAAGGGTGATAAGTACCTACATTGCAGAAAGTACCTACATTGTAGATAGTAGAGTTCCTCTGGTAGGAATTGCTATCATGCCTTTGGGTGAGCATAGGACCCTGTGGGAGGGTAGCCCTCCAGGACCGGGAAGTCTGGCAGAAGTTCAAGGGTCTCGCAGTCTTTATAGGTGCTTTGATTGCAACAAGGGGCCCTAAAGAATACTGTCTGGTGCTTAGTAGGGAATGGGGGAATGGATCCCTATGATAGTCCCTTAAGGTCCTTTATAGTAGTCCCTATAAGCCATTCCCCCATTCCCTACTAAGCACCAGACAGAATAATGGGCAATCCTTCCACGCTGATGTTGTGGGGCTCATAACTTCACAATTTCTCGGACTCGTGGCGTTTAAGGTTTTGGGTTTCGGTCTGGGTTTAGGGTTTAGGGTTTGCCACGCTATGGAAAAATAGAAGCTGGTAGTCGAAACACACGACCCTGCCTTCGGATTCCTCATTACTGAAACTTTTACCCCAGCCGCAAACCCGAACATTACAGCCCTAAATCACTATCGCTTTTCTAGCCCCTATAATCAGGGTGGATGGATATAATACCCCTAAACCCCAAAACACAAAACACGAAACCTCCTGTACCCTAAACCCGCTGAACCCGAACAGCTCACCTCCAGGCCAGCATAACAGCAATCCATCAACATTCTGGTTGCGGGCACCGGGTGTATTTGGGGTTTGGGGTTTACGTCCGGGTACGTGATTCATGGTAGTGTTTTCGCAACAACCTCCCCTTTGATGTGTCTGCGCGGCAGGCCAAAGCCGAAATTCATAAAACGGCGACTGCAACATATTATAGGGACCCAAAAAGGACATAAGCATCAGCGTTCTATAGGGATGTCCCTACCTTATTGGGCTTCATTATACAGGGGTTTATATGGGATATCCCATTCTGTTTTTTGCTTATGTGCTTTCTTGAGGCTCCAACACAACAACCCGAAGCCCAAACTCATGTCGCGGTAAAGAGCGTGCCTGCTATGCAGCGGTCGCAGCACTCCATCCTTGGCTGACGGAGTCTGCAGCCCAAGTCCACTGCCCGAACAAGCCTAATCTAGGGGCCTGAATAATTCCAATAGGGGTTTGGGACCATTATACTATAATTGTAATAAGGAGCCCCCAAAACAGCACCATAATCATAATAAGGAACACCCCCCAAAAATAGGCAAGGTAATCCCCTCCATTAACGCCCAACCCTAGAGCCACCGTTGATGACATAGATCTTGCATGAACCCTAAGCTATGGGAATTCTGCTATATTCCTCATTATGGGTATTGCAGGAACTATATCATCCACCGTACGGTTCGGGAGTTCAGGTCTTGGCTGGTGTAACGAGTTGAAGGTGTGTAGAGGTGAGACAACATTCAGATCACCCCCCCAAGTGTTGCTGATCGTTCTTTTTGCGTGATTATGGAGGTCTTCATAATTAGAGTCGGGTTCGGAGTTCTGCTATAACATCTTTGTATGGAGAAGCCCTAAGGGCTGTTTTTGGAAATCATTCTGGCTGCTACGTGCGGGCCTTAATCACCATGATTTGATTGAAAGGGTGTGAACGGAACTGAGGGACCCAGGCAAGTAAGTGGCAACAATATATGGAAAAGAGTGTTGGGTACAGTAGGTTCAGGATTTAGGGTTTAGGGTATGGTAAACTGAAGTGGGGACGAAAGAAGGATATTCGTGCTAATCTCTCAGCCCCCTAAAACCCTCCAGAATCTCTTTAAAGCCCAATAACAGTCCCACCAAGCGTTTCGCCTGTGCAGCCGTTCCCAGCATGCAGTACCCCCGTTGCAGTCCGCCGGTCTTTTGGGTGCTTATCGCCGCATGCATCTCCATCAGCAACACGGCTATGACCACGGCCTAGGGGCCTGAATACTTGGAATAGGGTTTTGGGGCCATTTATAATATAAATATGAGAAGGAGCCCTCAAAATAGTATAGGCAATTTATACAGGCCCCTTTCTTACACCTTCTCGCTCTGGAGATCAACTGGCTCGACGGCTGTGCCTGGCGAGAGAACCACGGTTGACAGCTCCTCCCCTCTCTCGTTCAGCTCCGCGACATTCATGCAATCGGAACCGCTGTAGTGGTGAATATATCCACGCAACAAAACGAAGTACTAAGGAGCGGTTGCTACTTAGTACTGAAGCAAGGCTGTGTTTTGTTACGGTGGATGGAGGGAATCTTGCACCACCCAGATGGTGATGCATGGCAACGCCCATCACCAGGACGCCGCAACCCCTGTAATATTGACGATAGTATGCCATATGACTGGTGCAAGATTTGCAAGGTTCTTGTGAGTGGAAACCACGGCCCTTCCCAGGACTGGACATCAAACTGAAACAATCGGGCCCTGGGTACTCTCGTTATTGGTCCATTCAAACTGCTGCAAGATTTCTTCCAAGCATGTCTGCAGTTTAAACGGACTACTCAGGGGACGTTATTCCTCTGTCTTACCCATGTCCGCCAGGTGGCGATGTCCAGGAATATGACTTTCGTGGGGTCCTGTCAAAGGGCCCATCTAGGGCTTAGGGCTTCGGGGTGCTTACCCTAAACGCCAAACCTTTCCACCCCAAGCTTCAACCTTAAACCCTGAAGCCTTGAACCCTAGCTATAACGTCGGAGACTCATTGTCTTATGCCGGTAGGGTTTTGCGCTCCTTTATAGTATACTTATAATAAGAATATCGGTGATTACCTAGGCTGCTATATTACCAACACAAAGCGTTTAGGAACACCTGAAAGACATGCTGCCCGATAAGACCAGCCAAAGACCCATGAAACCCAACGAACCTCAAAATCCAGTTCTCAAAATCCTGGAACCCTAATATAGTTTTTTCATAAGCAATATGCTTTGGGGTATAATCTAGCATGTTTCTTGACATTGATATTTACCCAAGTTTTTATCTGAAAGCTTGTTCACTAGAATAGGGCTTCGTGGTTCACTACAGCACACATATGGGTAGTTCTCTAAATTAGGATCCCTTTTTGGGTCCCAAATATAGTGCGGCACCCTTATGAAATGGACCCTAAAATGGGACCCTAATTTAGAATTTAGAGAACTACCCATATGTAAGGACTGTAAGGGAAGACTAAGACGACCCATTCCGATCCCTGCAGTCGCTCGTAACCCCCTAAACCCTAAACCCTAAACCCTAAACCCGGAACCCTAGGGTCCCCTAAACCCTGAAGCCCCAAACATCCCGAAGCCACGGTTTAGGGTTTAGGGTTTAGGGTGTTGTAAGTTGGTTTAGGGTTTAGGGTTTAGGGTTTAGGGTTTAGGGTGTTATAAGTTGGTTTAGGGTTTAGGGTTTAGGGTGTTATAAGTTGGTTTAGGGTTTAGGGTTTAGGGTTTAGGGTGTTATAAGTTGG